CAGAACCTGAGCCTGACTGTCCACCTCGGGATTTCTTATGGAGTCATGGCACTTGAGGCTCTACATTTCCACGATCTAACCATCTCCAAAAAAGTTCCACCTTTGCCCCCTCCCCCAAAAGAATGGAGGAATATCTTTAATTCTTGGTCCTCGGAATTCATGTAAATATCAAGGGAGTGACAGTCCTAAAACCTAGTATTCAGGGGCTTTGAAAAGCTTGTGGGAAAATAATGGAAGATGAGAGAGACAACTAGAGGGCTGTGTGTGTGTGTGTGTGTGTGTGTGTGTGTGTGTGTGTGTAATATCACAGTTAAGACAGTAGATGAAGAACTTAGACTTGTTTGGTAAAACGGCAACCTATTTTTCCAAATGTTCAACTTTCTAAGGACGCCCAAGTCCCACTACTGAGGCAAGAAGGGGGTGTCTGACCCTTTAATACCACTCCCCACATTCCCACGACACAGACGGCATAGAACAGGGTCAGAAGAGATGGCCACCAGCCTTCCCACAGATGTCCACCACGGAGAAATAGAGGGTTGCTCAAAACAGGAAAGCCCGATGCCTGCCTTCCTCCCTGGTGCTCAAAGCCTTTTTCTTGTCTTTTAGTGTGATTTGCATTTACTCCTCATTGAAGCAAACATGACCTATGCAAAGAGGAAAAGACTGAAACGTGATTAAAAAACAAAACAAAACTGCGACTTTAGGCTGGCTCAGAGAGTTCGCTCAAAGTGGCAGAAGCTGGTTCAGAACCAAGATTGTAAAATGGATTTTTATTTTAGGGTATTAAAGCAAGCCTGTGGCCAAAGCACCCATATCGCCCCACAACTAAACGGCTACGTAATCCAAGTTCCCAAGAAATGCCCAAAAATTTTTCTTTGAGGAGTTCAAAATAAGCTTAGCTTTGACATCGCCTTGAAATGTTAAGAGAAGGATTAATACTGAAATATCAACTTATCAATTAAAACCATTTTCGCCTTAAGGGACCAGATTCCAGACAGGTAGGCTGACTCAAATGTCCAGCAAGCTTCACCGTCACGGCCCCTCGCTTGTCCTGACCCTTTCTAAAGGGCTGGCCATGCTCCCATGCCCATATAGTCTCCTGGCCTATGGAGAAGCACAGGGCTCTTACTGGAACTGAGTCTCCCCACGCCCAGCCCCCCTTTACCCTGACTCCCATTCAGGGGCAATACAAGAGACCCTGTGGCCTGGTTCAAATCTGGTTGAACGGGGTTGATCTGAGTGCAAAGTAGCATGGTTCATGCCCACCCAAGTGTCAGAAACAAGTGATGACTTCCAATTACCTGTGTGAGAGAAATGACTGTGCTGTCGCGTTAAGTAGCCCAAAAGCGTAGAAGAAAGCGTGGCCCAAAGAACAAATTAACAATCGCAGGTTGTTTTTCTGGATTTCACCGTGTTTGTCAGGTGATTAAGGTTTGTTGTCGTGTGTTGTGATTTCTTTCCTCAGAAAATTAAGTATTCCCATGCATGCCTTAATTTCATATCCTTAACTTTGTACTTGTTTTTCCTTCTAAAAGAGCTTGCGCCACCCACCCCACCCCCAAAAAAAAACCCGTTTCACCCCTGATCCTAACATGTTGGGACTACAGCCAACGCCCGTCCCTCCTCCTCCATCCCCGATGAGTCCGTCAGGGGTCTCTTGCCGCCTCTGCCTTCAACAAGTTCTTTCCAGGGTTCTCACTCTGGAACCAGCACCCCAGCCATCTCTGAAATGTGACCCACATCCACCCTGCTCCCAGGATGGTAGAAGCCCTGGTTGGCCAGTTCCGGAAATGGTTACGAGTTCCAGTGGATTCCCACAGGGGCAGCTGCTGGGGCCGTCTGATAAGCATCGGGACGGCCGGGGACCGGAGCTCACTGTCACACACAGCAGCTACACCAGGTCCAGGAAATCCCAGCCTGAGCCTGTGGGCACTTCTGCACCCAGCCACACCCCCTCACCTCCACCTCTCCCAACGAGGCCTGCAGGGCGCTGCACTGACCCATGGGGAGGGAGCGTAAAGGGGTCTGGACAATACAGAAGTGTGTGCGAGAAAGCTTCTGAAGGGCTCACCGATGAGACGGGGTGACTAGGGGTTTAAAGATGAGGATACGTTCTAGAAGCACCCCTCGCCTTTTAAGGCTGAGGGTGTGGAGGAGACCTAGTCCCTCCTACAGAATTACCCTTGGGGGTCATTGGACAGGTAAGACTAAAAGCAAACAAATAGGTGTACATAACCCGTGTGCACATGTATGTGCATCTGTGCCCAGAGGAGGGAGCTCCAAATGGAAGACGGAAGCGGAGGTAGTAGGGTCTTCCCAAGAACTGTCGGACACCCTGCTGTGCGGCGTGGCTCTCTGTTGTCACCGCACAGGTGGCACCTCAGCGCAGAGGAATGCCACCCCTTGGGAGTCAGAACCACCCGCGGAGACAACTTCCCAACCAAACAGGTTCCAGGGGCTCTTTGGGGGAGCACCCTTGTTTGCACGCTTGCACAAACTGGGGCGTCCTCAGCATGTCTGCGGTGTCGGAGTTACGCTGGCATCCTGGCACAAGCTCCACCCCTCATCTCACCTGGTAGAAATCTGATCACAACCCAAGAGAGTCCAGGGATGGAGAGGACCACACTATGGGCGTCAAGGAAGCCAGCCTTCCTGGGTTAACTTTAGGACGCCTCCTCCCCCTGTGTCCAGTCCCTCTTTATCTGACCCTTCACACTGAACATCATAGTAAAACATGCACTATCAGGTCCTTCTGCACATTAACCAGCTGTACGGGAGAGTAACGAACCCCAAGGGCTGAAACCGGGGTGGCTCCGGCTGGGATGGCTACGGTAGTCTAGTAAAGATGTGATCTGGCGGTGGAGGAGGATGGCATTTGGCAGTCCTGTCCTGATGTGACTTTGTGGCTGTGTCAGGTGAAATCGGGCAGCGATGCAGGGGCCCTCTTAGACAGTTGTGTAATGATGTGAGCTGACATTTACGCCTCCATGATGTGAGCTGATGTGATCATCCTCCACTTTTTTACAAAACACTCTCTTCTTTGGAACTTCACCACTTAGATTAGCAAGTGTATACCTGCTCAACCTAAATGACCTTCCGACTGTGATCTCCATGAGCTCGCTATATGGTCTGAAGGAGTTTCTGGGCGGTGTCCATAGCAATGAACTCGGCTGTGTGGTGGCTGGAGTCCGCTCAGCGGCACTGAGGAAGAAAACCGAGTGATCTGCCTCCAGGAAGAGGAGGTTCTATTGGACACAACCCTACTGTGGCACGCTTTGGGTCACCGTGTGTCACTAGGAGTTCTACAGACATAATTCTACTGTGGCACACCTGGATGCATGAGTCACTGAGAGTTTTATAGGACACAATTCTACCGTGACATACATGCAGTCACCATGAGCCACTGAGATTCTACTGGGCTCGATACTCCTGTGGCATGCCTGGAGTCACCAAATGTTACTGAGAGTTCTGCAGGACACCGTGCTACTGTGACACACCTGGAGCCACCGTGTGTTCGTGGTAACCCAGAGCGACTGGTTTGCATCTTCACAGGATCCTAAGCTCCGTAGCTCTCAAGCATACCTGTACGTTGCAGATCATCACAGGGCTGTGATAAAACACAGACCACGAGTGTAGTAAATGCAGGTCACTCTCCAAATAGTCCCTGGGCCCCTGCTGTTTGCCAGGCACTGCTCTGGGCAGGGTGGAGTATCGACAGACAAAACTAGGATCCCTGCTCTCAGAGTACTTCCCTGCCAGAATCACGGGCGTCATTTTTAGGACCACTTGTGTTATCCTCCTTATGAGCCCCTGGCTGGGTTAGCTGGACCAGCCAGCTCAATGCAACTGCGGCGCATCTGAGACGCTACCGCTGCGCCATTAAATGCCTTCCTTAATCACGTTTTCCTGCAACACTGAGGCACAAATGCAACTTGGGGGACAGCGTTACAAAGATGCCGTCGCTCCGATGTGTTCCCTTCTCAGAAAAGGGGGGCACGAGGCAGACACCACCATGATGCAGTAGGGTGCTGGAACCAGAATCCAAGCCGGATACCCTACACTCGACGCCGACTGCCCTGCCGGTGCCCGACCTGCACCCTTTTTGGGAAAAGAGCCCATCCTGCTCCCGGGCAACAGTTGGGAGACTCGAGTGTGGACCTTGCGCTTCGTGCCCTGCACCACGAGGGCACAGCGACATGGGGAGTTCTGGCAACTGGTCTGCCCACACAGCTCTGCCTACCTGCCTTTGGGGACTCCTGGGCAGGGCATAGGGAAGCACCACAGAGTCCTGCGGGGAATGACCTTGAACACTGGCCATCCTCGTCCAAGCCAGGCCTCCAGAAGCCAACGTGGGCGCGCTGGGTCTGCAGCAGAGCTGCCTCACTGGACACAGCTGGGGTCTGCGAGTGACAAGCTGGGGCCGGCGAGGGGGACACTGCAATGATCCCCTCGGCAAACGGCCGTCGAGGGCACTTGTGGAAGTGGGGAGCCGTGCCAGCGCCCTGGGCCACGGTGTGAGGCCGATTCCTGCCAAAGTATGGAGGAAAAGCAGGCGAGACGGGTGAAATAAATTAGGAAATGGATTTTTTGTTTACCATCTTCAATCCTGATAACGCTTATTTCATTATGCGGTGAAATGCTTACATCCACGGGGTGCATAATAAAGTAGCCTAGATAAAGTTAATATTGATCACTGTCTTCGTTTTCAAAATCCTCCTGCCACACACACCGTGAGATCCACTCCCTCGAGGGCTTTCTCCGTAGTGTTTCCTCACTCCTACAACCCTGGGCAGCTAGCAGGTACTCGACCTAAGTGTTTATGAAACTATTAGCCCACTGAGTGAATGCGCAATTGGATAAATGAATGCATGAATTCTATAAGGAATCAGCCCAGGTGACAAGCCCGTGTCTTGGTGTTGGGGTGACATGTTCAGGGAGAGAGAGGGGGCTCTCTGAGGCCACAGAGCTGGTCAGTCCAGGTTCAAACCCAGCCCAGAGCACTCTACCCTACAGTACCAGGACATCTCGGGGGTCTGGTGGGCTTCCACAAAGTTAATAGGGAGAGTATCCCAGCTCAGCCTGTCAAGAAGGCTGGGAAACTGCACATCTACTGTCGGTGTTCCATTCTCACTGCGGGTCTCCAGTAGCTGGCTCTAACCACGGGGGTGGGAGAAGCCACCGGGATTAGAACAACACTTCCATTTACACAAGAAAAAGCACTTGAAACGCCAGCTACGTGTAGTGGTCTGAAATCCCGGTGTGCGCCCGTGCACGCCTTCCGTGACGACAGAATGGAAAAGCTCAATAACTATGACTCAATAAAACCAGCTTTTCAGGAGATGAGGTCTTTTGCCAAGGCCGCGTCTGCAGAGGGAGTGAACTCAAAGGGCAGCAACACACCAGCAACTAAAATTTATTTCTAAACCACCTACAACATCACAGAAACAATTCCTCTCCGGAGTGGTTTATGAGCAGCAAATGTGGGAAGGAAAAAAAACATTTTTTTTAACCACGGGCACCCTAGAGTTCAGCTAACCAGAGGGAGTGTGCGAGGGCACGCACGCAAGGGCACGGACACAGCCCGTGTAAGGGGAAAGTTCATTCGCCCCAGTGGCCCACCAGCTAGCATGGAAGGCCAGTCAGGGAGGCAGCCCCCTCGTACACAAAAGATGCAGAACTTAATGAGGAAAGAACCTTCTCAAACGCCGGAGGGACGCCTCACCAGAGCAGTTATTAATCCTGACGAGGGTGCCCTGCACCCGCCTCTGGAACTATATTATGACTCGTTAGATTCCGGAGTAATTGTCTTCTGAAGAGAGCGTGGACCAGTAAGACAAGAACTTGACTGGGAGCATCCCTAATCTCCGAGGTCCCTGAGAACTTTGAAGCAATGGAGGAGGAGGAGGAGGAAGAGGGAAGCAAGAGAAGTAGTCAGAAGAGGAAAAGGAGGAATTGAACCCAAGGAGCACTGGGCCCAGGGGTCAAGGGGCCCAGGGAAAGCGGCCAGCCCACCCACTTGGGCCTCCCCCTGGGCCTGGAGCTGAGGCCCACAGAAGATCCCCCCAACCGTGTGGGGCCCTCACGGTGTGAGTGCAGAGGGGCCGTTGGAAATTAGCATCCTTCAAGTCACATGACATGGAATATTAAGGAGAACAAAGCCCCAGGTGTGGCCTTTCATTTCCAAGAGCTCCGTAGACATCAAAAGAGCAGAGATCTGTGTACAAATATCTCTGTGATCGTCCTCCACCCCTCCACCAAAGGCTGAGTTCCAGAAGTGGATCTCAAGCGTTGATTAATTAACGTTCCCAGCCACAGCCACGGCAAAAGGCTTCCCCTGCCATGGGGGTGGGCACACAACTCAAAGCTGGAGCATATTCTTCCAGGGGAAAGAGGGCAGGGATACAGAGAAGCACTCCCTGGGCGGGCAACATCACTAAGAAGCAAATGAGCAGCCCAGTGCCGGGGAGTGTGTGCACACAGGTCTTTGACCTCCCAAATTCTGTGAGCTGCTGCCAATCTGGGGAGCCATTCGCTAGCCTGGCTCACTCTGTGCCACCTGACTTCCCCCCTCCCCCCCTCAAGGAGACGGTCCTGTAGCTGCCTAGTATCAACTACCATTCAGAGGAGCCAGGAGCACACACTACATGGCGTGCATTGCATCACAGCACTGCCGAGTCACAACGACCGGCAAGGGCTTGTGTTCATGTAGGTGTGCGTTGCTCCGTGTCTACGACACTCCCTGTGGGACAGGGTGCTCTGTGGCTTGAATGGATGTTGTGCGGACATCATCCTGTTATGAGGAGGCTTTCAAAAAGTTCATGGGAAAATGGAATGAGAGGATAATGGAATTTTTCCACCAACTCTGAGAGGCTCCCTCATAGACTCAGCAAACAAGTAAACAAACAAACAAAC